AAATTGACTTGAAATGGCCTTTCTCTATAAATAACAATTACGTATTATATTTACTTAAGCATTTGTTTGTTGTTGCGTAATTAACGGACGAGCGAAGCAGCTACGAAGCGATAAAATTCTGACGCCCAAGAACATGAATAATATTATGGACTTGTACGTCTTTACCCTAAAGAAGTCTTGATAGGTGATTGGATAGGAACCGAATAAAAAGTTCATAAAATTTAAAGATTTATTTATCCAATATTTATGTAAGGTGATAATGATGCCTATTTTAAATTAAGTAATAAAACTACTTTTTTTCTCAAGATCCTTTTTGTTTACTCCATATTTGACGTCACGTTCCCTGAGTGGTAGTTTACTCGGCCTTTTTTATTATTAAAATTTGTTTAAAATAAAACGTAACTTTGCTTTAGACTTATTATTATAATATAATATTTTTATATACTTTTACAACTCTGACCGATCCCCTATTGAAGGAAAAAAAACCACTGCATACTTCGCTTGCGCAAGTCTGCGAGGTTATGCAGAGCTCTCTTTTACGTACCCGCACAAAGCATTCTCTGGGCTAATCAAAATGCAGAAGCGTACCCACTAAAACCCACCGATGTCTCTTTCTATAGCTGGCTATGCACGGTAATAACCGAGGCCTGTGATCGCACACTTCGCCACCATTTTGGTCTACCACTTACAGGGCTTATCCTTATCCCCAACCGCAAAAATATGACTCAAAGACACTGGAGCCCTACCCCCCAGACAGGACTATTAGTTCTGGTCTCGTTAATACCTGTTCTTTACATCGTTAACTGCCAAACAGCACTCAACGTTATTCAATCGAACATAATGAGATAAAAATTGATGAAACACTGCATTGACAAACTGAATGGCAGTGCCAGAAGAATAAATTTATACTGAAATTGGTATTCTGGCTGCTTGCGTAAAAAAGTGGGGGACTAGCAAGGACTAAAGCATATTGACTTCAGATAGATCCTGAACTCTTGCGGTGTTTCATAAAACCATGCCACGCAAATCCTCAAGTAAAACCTTCTAAGCGAATCAAAAATATTGGCACCAAGCAGCCAGCTTTAAATCAAGTTAAATTACTAATTGAAGGTCATTCACAAAAACTAACTGCAAAGTTTTTACCCAAAAGAGTACATTGCAAATTAAAGAGATACCAATTTCACGTGACATTAAGTAGTAGATACTAATAGTTGCAGAATTTGTAAACAAATACGAAAACTGAAGTGAAAGTGATGATCCAATGAACACAACAAATCATACATCTGGGACGAGTCAATCAGCCCAGAAGAGATAAAATATATTAAAAAGGGGGACTTTAATTCTGGTGGAGAGTTACAATAAATGTTTTAGGTCGCGATCAATGAATTCAAATATATGGATTCATTGATCGCAAAACTTATAACGAAATCATTTGTGTAAGAACCGTTCAAATCAGATAGTTCCTTTAGAAACAGGCGCCGAACCTGGGGTCTGTAAAAGTTAAGGAATTTTGTAAATATAATTTTATGTAGATTTTGATCATCAGATTCATTGAACGATTTTTTGAACTTTTTGGCACTAAAATGAATATGATTTAATAACTGATTATTGTCGTCAGACGTAAATGATATTCCTAATAATAATTAGTTATTATCGAAACGGTTAGTATTGCAGGGCACGTATTGTTTAGCTTGCTTCGTGTAATTTAAATTATTTGTAAATGTATTCCTTATATTCTACATTTAAACAAATGCCTTATGCTTATTTGCTTTGCATGCTTTATTCAAGTTTCTCTTACCTTTTACTTTCCTTTACAAATGCAAATATTTTTTTTACCCTAAGGTCTTATCCTTAGTGGTGTTCTTACTATAACTATTTAACATTTATATTTTCACCAGTTTCGATTAGCAAAAGACAGGCGTTCATTATAGTTTAAAAATAATATTATGTTGTGTTACGGACAAGGTGCGCATTAAGGTCTTCGCGTATTTCATCGACTCTACTACAATCCAACGTGATTCCAACAATAACCTTCGATTCAACATCAACATGTCGATTGGTGATATATCCCTCTGAAACTACAACAGTAGATAACTTGGCTTGGATAAGTGGGCAACACGACATCAAGAAGTGGGATCACGTCATGAACTTACGGAAAGTTCAGAAAAATTTCACCCAGAGGAGACTTGTTTCTTGCGCATTTTTCAATTCATTTTCTTCATCAATGCGAGCGGCTGTGGTTTATCCTAGAATCGGACAAACGCAAATTGATCGGTCGCCGGACGTCAAAACTGATAAATATATGATACGACATTCAACCTTGCTCACTCAACGGCTGATCTGTACGTACTTACACATTTCCGTGAGACGCTCAACTTACTTTCCGACAAATTAACTGCGAGTTGGAATTTAGTGGACGTAATGTGCGAAAGTCTTTATTCTGCATTTAAGCCACATCGAATATCTGTGTCGTTACTGACATGGTATCTGGCTAGATTGCAGCGACCTCTGCCCTTTGCCAACTCCACACTTATCTAAGGTATAAAGAAGTCAAAATGATGTATTTATTCTCGGTCCTGCGCTCATTAGTGCGCCTCGCTGAAAATAGATAACGTTGCATTGTGTTTTTATTGATATGCTCACCAAACGTGAATGGTGGAGGTCCACTCGTTGATCAAAGGTCACACGGCCCTTCCTGAGTCAAATAGTTCGTTTAGTAATAGATAGTTGCGTGTAGATACACAGTAAACTGTTGAAATAATTGTGTGATTTTGAATGACAATTTAATTACGGTAAGTTTTTTTTTTAATTTAATCGCTGGGTTTTGTAATGAATTTTTTAAGTTTTTTTTTTATAAAAAATAACATATGGCCGCCATTGCATTAATATTAGTTTTAATCAGTTGCAGAATGTCATTAAAATTATTATAAAAAAAATATTGGAACAACTGATATTTAACTCTGCATCTTCATTACACGTGCAACGTGCATGTTTTTTTTTTGTCTTAATTTCCTAGTGTAATGGCGTTTTAAACTATGTCAGTTTAAAATCCGGCTTTTGTAATCATGTCATGAATAACGTTCAACTAGTCTCACAGATATAAAAGTAAAAGTAAAACTACAAAGATGTCCAAAGAATTTCTTCTCCCATCTCTTTCGAATTGACAGCTTTCTTCTCCAGAGTGTTTTGATCACTTTAAATTGTGTTGTTTTTTTATTGAAGCAGGTTTATTGTTCGTTATCGCTGGTATTTATGATATTAGAAAATATGATGACCTTCTCCATAATGATAGGTGTTACAGAAGATTGACCTTGACGGTTGATGAGTAAGAATCACTTTTCCACTACCTTGGAATAAGACATAGGAATGAATTTTGTCGAGATGAAATTGTCGAAGTACGCATATTACCACGAAAATTATGAAAAAGTAAACAGTCAGTCAGCAATGCTATTCTGATAAAAATACAGCGTCGATCAGCGCTGTTGCAGCATTAGAGGTTCGATCAGATAGAACCTAACCTATATCAGCTTTTGAAGTAGGTTTTTTTTAAAAAAGCACGTATGAGCCAAATACGAAAGATGTTAACCTTAATTTTCAACGTCGTTAAGAAACAGACCAATTAATTGTGAGCGAAAAGAAAAATTTGATGAAACTCATCTGAACTCATTCTCATACACGAAGATATAGGAAGTTGGAAAAAGTATAGACAAAATTGGTTTATAATGATGTGTCTGTGTTTTTCTCTAAAATTCTAGGATTGTTGCTCTTCTTTTAGAAGAACAACCAATAGTTAACGATGAGGTTCAGGCTCAGTATAATCGTTTGTTTTAGAAAACTGTCGTAAATCTGGAGAGGCGATCGATATTTCGCACATTTTTTGCATTACGATATGTCTGATTACGCTTGTCAGATCAGTGCACGTTATTACTATCCTATCTTACAGGTAACAGGATATAAAACTGAAGACTCCTTGCTTTTTCTTAAAATTTCATGAGATCAAATTAAGAAGCCAAGCTTAAGTGTTATAGTTAATTTATAGTGAAAACCGCTAAGTACATAACTACATTGTCCGTATTACAAAGCGGAGTAGATTTTGACGATAAGAATCTGATTATGTCTCCCTAACTCCCGAAATTATAAACGCAAAAGTTTGTGAGGATGTTTAAGTTTTGTTATACTTTTACGTAAAAACTACTGATGGGTTTTTTTATTAATTCGGTACACGGATAATTAATTACTTGAATTGGCATACAGTGTACATTTTATATGACAGATCGGTTTCCTAGGGATATGTGTTCTCCCAAGTCTTCGTGTTAAATACGCGTGCGAAGCCGCTGACCGTAAGCTGGTAATAAATATGTTCACTTTATGTATAAATATTTCACATACGCATATATAGTTTGTATCTGTTCTTATTTGTTCTCTTTCGATCAATGTTTACGTAATGCAAAATATAAATATTGATAACACTCACTTCTGTTTGATAGTTAAAAGTATCAGGTATTTGTCTATTTTTAATAAATATTAAAGGCATGTAATAAACCAAATTTAATACATTAAAATGTAAACGAAGATTAATTTGTCCACTTAAGGGTATGTATTAACTTCAACCGTGTTAAATAGAATTATACTACACTTTTTGGAATGTTCATTCAAACAATAAAAACTAGGTTAATCCACCGTGGTTCTAGAATTCAGATCCACGGTGTACTAACGGTACAAAAAGAGCCACATAAGAACAATTATTATTATCAAATGACTATACAATAGAGAACTAAACTTTGGCTTAGTTAAGTTTTCTATCATATTGTTATAGTTGGTAATAATAGTTATTTATTTATTGTGACTTTCAATTGTGTGCACCACCGTGCACCGCTCAAGTGACTGTTTAAATTTTGTACAATGTAGCTCTAGAATTTAGGGATATTTAATTTACAAATATTTGAAATCAAATTGAAGTTATTAGGATTCCGGAAACGTGGAATCTAATAGGATCACTATTGATCGTTTGTCTTTCACAAATAATGGGCTCGTAAATGCTCAATCGAGTTATAACTGTTGGTATATCCCGTGCTAATTAACATAACCTTTGAACAAAAATTCGGAAAATTTCGAATCGTTCATATAATTTTATTGAAATCATATCCGTGAAGATTATTTGTGCATCAGCAGCAGATTCAGATCCTTATTCCATTGCGTCATAAATAACCGAAAAATGCAAGTCGTATTAGCGTTTCGAAATTAGGCGGAATTTCGTTTCCCTAGAAATAGCATAGACCTCATGTTAATTCGTACGTGTATAAACATTCTGCATATGCATTTGTTGTTAGCCATGGAGCTGGTATCGCTTGCGAAGGAGATGCTCCAGACAGTTGCGGAGCAAGCGGCTAGCTACCGTGCAGGGCAGACTCTCCTGAGATGGCTGGACCGCGTGCTGTGGACAGTAGAGAAGTGCGCCCGATGGGCTGTACCGCCACCGCGTGAGTTATCACCATTCATACTTTTATACATATATATAAAGAGCTAAAGGTAAAGATTGTAGGGGTTAATCTTCAAAAATACTGATCCGATCATGATTTCTTCAAATCCTACCTAAGGGAAGATACGGGACAGTATAGTCACGAGAAAACGGCTAATACAGTATTATTGGGAGTTGTTTAATTCTTTTTTCACTCCCTATAATAAAAAATCCTGATTCGCTTTGACCGTGCAGGCGACACCGCGGGTTCTAGCTGGTTATTAAGAAAAATCTATATGTGATCGAGTGTTAATCTTAGTAATGCCAAGCGAATTCTTATGCGTAATCAAGGGTCAGTTATTTCAAAATGAAATAGCTTTTACTAGTCAAACTACATTTATTAATATGAATCTGGAATTGATGACCTATATTGAACACGTGTTTCTCACCTCCGAATAGTTTATTCTGGAGTTGTTAGACCTCAGACTGCTAAGGACGAACCACGTTATAGTTGAGACGGTTGTTGCCGCACGTGTATTTATTTATGCGCGGTTCATATATCTCAAAGTAACATCTAGATGTGGAAGTTTCTAAATGTTTTAGTTTTCCAGTTATGATTAAGATTTACCAGTTACCAAAGCAATTAATAGTGAAGCGGTGTCAGTTTGTAATTAAAAGCTACACAATAGTAATTTCCTTAGTTAACATAAAGTAACACTTCCGCGGCGGGATCAGAAGTCAAACTATATTGCTTTCAGCAAGAACTCTCTATATCTTCCGAATGATCTATATAAACTGGTTTTCTAATCTTTTTTTTTTATTATAGTCGATCAAGACGAGAGACCACAGCCCGAACTCGTCCGCCCATTGCCGTGGATATTCTTCTTAGCGTTGCTTATAACTCTGCGTGTTACCAGGGAATCGATATCCCTGATCAACTTGGCAATGGGGAAACCGCCACTGCGCTCTGCTGATGTGGTAAATATACACTAATGGAGATTCATCAAGGAAATACGCTTCATTTGGCAAGCTCTTTTTCTTGTCAATGCCTTCATGGATTAGTATATGCCATCAGAAGGACATTATAAATAATAAAAATCAAACCTACAGTGACAGTTGTGTAAAAAGAACTTTCCCCCTCTGTTTATCTGTCCGTTCCCCCTCTCCCGCTGCCGCGCCTTCTGTAACACCACGTATAATAAATAGACCATGTGCTACTAGAATTAAGGGTAGGTAATTCGCAACTCATTATACGCGCTGATTATATCCCCCCCTAAAACGGACAATGTTGATTATATTGCATACTTTAATACATTGCAAGATTATATGCAAACAACGGACACTGGAGACTTTGCATACTTCGGTGATTTTAATCTACCTAACCTTGACTGGTATGAAGAAAGGCCCCTCAATGAAACTTGCGAATGAAGACAGTTTACAATCTCTTTATTCAAACTTGATTGATTTTGTAAGTAAGTCTATTGAATTGCATACAAATCAACAATTTCAAAATTAATCTACATCGAATACTCTAACCTGTGTATAACCTATACCAAACACAAATATTTTTCCAGTAACAAAGGCGTTAGTTAATATAGATAAAAAACCCCCTTCCTTTTGTACATTATTAACCCTAAACCAGGTAGACAAATGTCTCCCACTTAAGAAGCTATAGTATTGTTTTAGAAAGCCTAATTATGAATTGATTAATAATGGCTTATTACAAATTAATTGGCATTCCATATTTCATCGAAAAGTTCGGAATTATGTATTGAGATTTTCTATAATTTTATACATGATATAATTAAAAAGCATATTCCTACTAAGATTATCTCTCATTCACATTTCTCAGTATGATTTACCCCGTCGCTAAAACATATTTAAAAACAAAAACACGGTATGGATAAAATGGAAAAAGTATGGAAACCGGTTTGATTATATAATATTTTCCATGCTCAGGGAAATGTTTAACATTGAGGCCGACAAATGCTTTAGTTAATACATAAATAAGGTTGAGGATAGCATTAAAGATAATGTTAACTATTTGTGGACATATATGAAGCACCGCAGAAATGAATCTGATATACCTGGCACTGTTAGTTATAACGGTACTATAACTGACAAGCCAAGCGTCATATGCAATATGTTCTCTAAATCTTTCAATCAGTATTTCAATTATCTAGATTCTCGTAAGATAGATACTTTTATGGTTCAAGATATCTTTAATCTGGATATAAACACGCAAACCGATAAAATAATTATTGATATTATATTAAAGGAAGACAATGTATTTAAGAGATTGGAAAGATTAGATACCAATAGGACCTGAAACTGATTATATTTAGAAACATTGTTTCAAGTATTTGTAAGCCATTGTGTATACTCTATAATAAATGTCTTGACTGAGGGAGTTTGTCCAAAAGATTGGAAATCTGCAAGAATTACATCGGTACATAAAGGTGGTTTTAAAAAAGTTGTAACTAACTATATTGTTGTTTGAAAATATTGACGACAACAAACAAGCTGACAGTGTATACACCGACTTCAAAAGAGCCTTCGACAGAGTGAATCATATGTTGTTGGAGAATGAGAGATGAGAGATGTTACTGAAGAAAATCGCTTGTAACGGAATCAGGGATAATCTGTGGCGGTGGTTCAAATCATATGTAACGAATCGTACGCAAAAAGTAGATGGGTATGAGAACACTATTGCTATAACATCAGGCGTTCCCCAAGGCTCGATCCTCGGTCCTTTGCTCTTCGTTCTCTTCATTAATGGCATAGGTAACGGTTTCAAGCACTGTCATTTCCTTCTATATGCAGATGACCTCAAAATGTATCGTAACATTAATGATCTTTCTGATCACCATACATTTCAGGAAGACCTTGATCGATTCTCAGGCTATTGTCATAATAATAAATTAGAACTTAATTTAAACAAATGTACTAGCATTACCTTCTCACGAAAAAAAAACAAGTAAATAGGTTTACATATTATTTATGCGGTGACAATATTGAAAGTGTATTAAGAATACGGGATCTTGGGATCATGCTAGACACAAAATTATCATTAGATAGACATACCGAATATACGATATATGTGATAGGGCATATAAATTGTATTGTGAAGATTGCAATTGCACGCCATGATGTTATATGATCTTTGTCGCAACAAATATGATTGCTCTATTATAATAAATAGAAATTATAACAGAGTATAATATAACTGAATTTAACACACTAATCATCAAAAATGAATTTGGTAGCTGTCTTTCGAAACTGAAAGTTAGTAACGATTACGACACATATACGGTAATACAGTGCCGGATTAGCGACGTAGCAAAAGTAACAAATGTTACGGGCCCTGCGCGTTTGGGAGCTTAGCTATGATCTGACCAATAAATTAATTTTTCAAGTCAGTGTTAGAAAATGCAAGAAATAAAATAAGCCACGCTTCTGTCTAAACTCATATTTTTAATATCATATCATATTTTTAATTATAAACATATACTGACGAATAATACTCAAGTCACAGATTAGTTGTGTTTTATTATACGGAAAGCAAAAGACGACTTTTCTATTTCTTTTGCAAAGTTGATTATTCGAAATCGATCGTCATCACGAAAGATATATTAGGTGATTGGAAGAATATTCAGATCTTTTTGAAAATCCATAACTTACCATTATTTTGTTATTAACAAAATCTTGAATTATTTTTCATTATTATTTAAAGTTGCTTTTATATTTTAAATTTCTATATTTGGTCTATTTTCAAATTCGGTTGAACGTTAATGGTTTGATTATTGATTTTAATGTATTTTTAAACATTAATATAATAAAAATATATTAGCATTTTACTCTCCTTTCCTATATTACTTTGATTGTATCAATCATAGTTTTGTGTTCGTATAACCTTCGTAAAATTTCATACAAATAATATTACATAAAGTAATTATTTGCGTACAAAATTTTGCCTTCATTAATGATAATATGATAATTCCTTCAACAACTAGCGCAACTGCAAGTTTTTCGATTACTGGACACAGTATTCGAAAAACATTAACCGACTTCAAAAAAGAGGTTCGCAGTTTGACCTGTATGTAAGTTTGTGCGTAATTATCTTGCCTTTGGGTGAACCGATTTTGACGCGGTTTTTAGAAAAGTATTTTTTGTTACCTTTTATATAAAAAAATATCAATATCATTAGAAAGCATGAAATAATGACTTTAAATAAATATAAATAGTAATATACTATAAATAATAAGTATTATTTCTCCCTTTTTTTTCTTTTTTTTTTTCGTTTATTTTCTTTTTTCAAGTTTTTATAGCATAACAGCTTAATTACATATGTTATTTCTTATTTTGTCAGGTAATGTACATCCAAAGCAAACGTCGATATCTCCGCACTCTCAAATATCAAGGCAACCGCGTAATGCGTGCGCGCACTAGTACCGGGCAGCCGCAGCAAAGCTGGTACAATCGCATACAGGCCCTCTTCGACTTCACTATGTGCTTCCGTAACTCGCATAACTACGGCAACAATAATACCACATGTGTCAGCAACAACGACGAGGTGTTGGTGAGCATACAATGATTGATGTTTAGAGTCTTGCACGAGTAAATTGATCCTTAAGAACCGATACCTTCATAGAGTGTTAGGATGTTTAGTAGTAATATATAATATTGATGAATGTTACTTTCTAAACATATTTTGATACTACATTTTGAAGTGTCGATATTCAGTTTTGATAACTGTCAATTCTTGTTTTTAAATGAGTCTTAGTCCGTTTAAGTAAATTTGTTTATCCAAAAATATGGGCATGTAGTAAAACATTGATGTTTTACCCTCCTGGGTTGATCCCAGGATTAGCTTTAATGTGGCAGACTCTATACATATAATAACTATTAGAAGCTGTATGTATTGGTAATACGTTTTTTTTGATGATGATTGATTTATTATGTAATAAATATTTACCTATGTTTAGTATTAAACATATATATATGTTACTACTAAACATTTGGAATATTTCTTGATTGTTGTCGTATGTCTCTAGATACTACACTAATTATAGTATGCAGACATTAATTTCGTGCATTTTGAAGCATATGTCAAGCTCTTTATGTTGCATATGATCCGGTCCCCAATAATGAATATTAGAGCGACTCGTTATCGACAGGTAGTGAAGCGCAGTAAGCGCGGTCGTCAACCGACAGCAGTGGGAGTGGCCAGTGCTGTGGCGGCCGCGGAGACAACTATGGACCGTCTCATTGAGAAGATGATGCAGGATCTTGATGCCGATACCGACGACGATTCCAGTTTTACGGTACTTTTTGTTTTTTTCAATTTTGTGGTTGTATTTTTATAGTAGTCACTTGATCAGCTTAACTCTAAATTTTAAATTATAAGTCAAAGGAATTAGGACTATCAATTATAATATTACAATTAAACCTTGAGGGTATATCTCAAGTAAATACTTCTACTACCCTGCAAGATTACATAATATTAATAATTAGTCAGTCGTGTTAGGTCCTGGGTAGCTCAGCGATTTAAGTCTCATTTCAGAGTGCCAGGATCAAAATTATTTTTAAGCATTTTCATTAGGTATAGCATTGTGAATGCAGTGAAGATAATAATTTCATAATATTATCAAACTTAACAATCGTGGTATAATCACAGGTTTTGACTTGGTAGCTTAACCTCTCGCCTGTCGTATCATCATGGAAATGTGCGACCTAACGTTCTATATATGTACGTTGGGTGCACATTTCCAATGTGCAGACCACTATAAATCAGCAAAAAAGGTCTAATAACCTTCAAGTACCATCACTTCCATACTCAAGCCTCGAAGCAATACTTTTTTCCAAAACTATTTTTGAAGCTTAATGTTATTCAGCAGTATATTTGGGTAATTTTAACGGCCGACACGTGACTTGGAGAAACATATCGAATTATCACAGCGTGCAGGCGCTCTTAAGATTTTATTTATCTCTGACGCTTGTTCCTAACCAAAGATATCCTGTCAAAGTAGAATACACTATAGTTCTGTTTATCAGCCATTTTTAGTATGATCGAGCTTTTTAAGGATTCTTATTGTTTAAAAAAAATATATTCTATAGAAAAAATCCCAAAGTTACACATATTTAAAAAAAACATTTTATATTCACTTTGTAGCTTAAGGAATATGGAGTACGTCTATTTAGTCTGTCAGTCAGTTAACAGTAAAATATTAGATATGTAATATAAAATATAAGACTTTTTGCTTCAATTTAAACAAATAATGGCTTAGATAATAGTTAGATTAAAGGTGAGGTGTGGGGGCTCGCTATGTCACAGTTTTGTAAAACGTACAAAAGCGTGACGTCATGCGAGATTTCAACTCAATGTATCGCCGTAATTTATTGATTGCGCAAAAAATAAAAAATATGTGTTTAACATTTTTTAATAATAAACAAACAAAAATTAGTCATCATCCTTATTATGCAGCACTTTTGCAATAAGTCATATTGCTGCAACTATCTGTCGCCAGATTGTAGCACTGAAATGAAATATCTTTATTCAATTAAGCTTCTTACAAGCACTTTTGAATCGTCCAAAAAAAGATTTTTTTCCTTCCACTTGTTCGGGACGTCTTTTAGGTGACAAGTAGAACAAGCGAAAGAAACTTACCAGCTTTTTATCATAAGTAATGACATTTACAAAATCATGTCATCACCAAAATAATATGTATTAACACAATAATAAATACAACTTTCAAAGTCTGTAGGTTGTACATATAATTAGTACTTATAGGACAAAGCGAAGGCTATTAATTCCATGCATTGCGGTTCTTAAAATAATCATCAACTTTATAATAGCCTTCACTCATAAGTATGTTCTTTAAATGAATTTTAAATTTATTTATGAGTAGGTATATGTAGTATTTTTTTTTATAAAAGTCATTCACTGAGTGGTGGGAGCATAGAGTAAAGTAAAAGTAAGCATAGTATACATTTAATATTTTTGAATTTATATTAAAGAAATATAATTTTATCCAATAACATATCATTACTGCTTATTTGAATATAAGAAGCTAGGGGATCATTTATTTCCAAAGATAAAATATCGTGTACGTAATACAATAAAACTTAATAACATAAATATTTTATGGGGGCGGCCCATTTTATGAACATTGCTTTTTGTCGATTTTAATAGATAATGGTACGTAAACCTTCGTGCGTGAGTCAGACTCACTTGGCCGGTTTTTGTTTTAGTGTTTACAATCACGTCAAAGTTCAACTAGATGAGTGAATCGCTAAAAATCAACCTTTTATCTTTGCATAACTAGTCTCTATTTTTATCTTTTTTTATCTATTTGACATTATCCATTTATTTATTATTATGATTATAAATGAGTATGTATTTACTTGGCAGTCCTTTTGAGTTTTATTAATATAATAACATACCTAATTAATAATTACAATAATCTGCGTTATACTGTAAGTAGCCACTTACAAAATTTCATACAAATCTGTTACATATTATAAAACTTATATAACATTGAAACTTATATAACATTAGCTATTTTCCCGTGACCTCGCCTCCGTAAATTATACGCACCCGCATATGGTGTAGCTGCCCGTAGATGAAGAAGAAGATTACCCACCACAAACATACAAATAAAGTTTACCTTTTCACAATATTAGTATGGCTATGGAAAGTATGCCAGATAAAAGAATGGAAAATGTTATACAACGTGTCCCAAAATTCAACGATAAGCGGGCGCCAAAAGGTAGACCTGCTCATGTGTACTTATGGAAAAATAAGAAAAAAATTATATCTTATTAATCTTTTTTATTATAAAATAAAATTCGAAAATTTACACCTTTTATGATATTTTCAACTACCACGACCACAACTTCTCAATTATGTTCAATCTTTTTTTGGTATCGGATACCTAAGTAGTACTAATATTCGCTACAACTGTTAAAAACACCAAAATGCCCACAGTATTTACACGAAAAACAATCAAAATGTATTTTTTTCCTTACATTTTCACAGATTTTTACGTTCCGTAATCTTTGACTCACAGTCATGTAGAAAAGAAGTATGGACACTACTGCGGCAAGTTGTTTTTAAAATTGACGCAGCTCATGAAGATTCCATGATGGTATAATACTTCATGATAACTAGCAACAAACTAAAAATCATACCATTTAGAATCAAGAACCAAAGTTGTGAGTAATAAATTGTACTGTTCCGAAATGTTTTAATATTTAAAAAAAATATTGAAATAAAACAATAGTGAGTTTTAGTCTCATTCATTTATTAATAATTAACATTACAGTAAATAATACATGCACAACATCGCCTTAAAAAAGAGCGTTTTATTTTTCGTGCATACCTTTTAGCATTGATATGTGACGCAGCCTGACTAATTTTTTGCCGAAGCTCGTCCAATGTCGTAATGGGTTTTTCATAGATTTAATAGAAAAAGTCCAGGGGGTTTAGGTCGGGTGATCGGGGTGGCCATAAGATAGGACCAAGTCGCCCAATCCAACGCCCGGAATACTCTTGGTTTACAAATGGTGTGCATATTTTTTTACTGTGACTAGTTAACTTAGATTATTATACCATTTTGGAATCTTGATGAGTTCAGTCAATTTTAAAAACAACTTGCCAGAGTGGTGTCCATACTTTTTTTTTTTATAAGACCGTAAGTCAAAGATTACGGAACGTAAAAATCTGTGAAAATCTAAGGAAAAAATACATTTTCATTGTTTTTTGTGTAAAAACTGCGGGCATTTTGGTGTTTTTAAGAGTTGTAGCGAATAGTAGTGCTACTTAGGTATCCGATACCAAAAAAAGATTGAACATAATTGAGAAGTTGTGGTCGTGGTAGTTGAAAATATCATAAAAGGTGTAAATTTTCGAATTTAATTTTATAATAAAAAAGATTAATAAGATATAATTTTTTTCTTATTTTTCCATAAGTACACATGAGCAGGTCTACCTCTTGGCGCCTGCTTATCGTTGAATTTTGGGACACGTTGTATATAATGCGAAATGGAAGGATGTAGAAAAAGCAGAAAGCCAAGACACACTTTTCGAGAAAAAAAAAGAGCTATCCTAATACTGCGCGCGACTATAACGTCATCCTATCATTTATGAATAAAACATACGTATAAATGTCATGACAGTACAGTAATAATTTGAAACATCATTTTTTACGTTTATTTTTATTATTTTATAAACAGTTATGTCAAAACTCGCGGTAAAAAAATATTGTTTATGATATAGTAGCTATTTAGTTCTGTTAGCTTTATGACTCTTGTTACAAATCTTGAAAAGTCCAGTTCTCAACAGTATTGTTCTTTTAATTTTAGTTTAGTTACCTTTTTAATTATCCTTCAATTTCTTGTCATTATTATTTTGATTCATATTTACAGTTAACCAACGTAACGAGTGTCAGAAGCGATCGTTCGGACACTCCAGAATCGGATCAAGACTCGGTACTGCACTACGATGGGTCCACGCCGCGTAAATCTAAAACATCGGACACAGACAGTAACACTGCGTCCAATAACACTGAACAGCCAACGCCAAAGAAAATAGAATCGCCCAAAAAAGAGAGTGACGTCACAGAAAAAGAAGAACACGTCACTGCGGACGTACACCACGAATCAGCAGATGATCAAGAAAAACAAATTAACAACGAAACTTTAGAACAACAAGACAGTGACGAGTCGAGCGATGAAGAAGGTATGAATGAAGCAACAGCGATGACAAGAGAGGACGCAGCATTACAAATGGATATGTCGACTCCTCCACGATCGGCCAAAGAGGAGTCTCAGCTGTTGATTCAACAAGAAGGCAGCCCGTATCAACGCCAACATTCACCGAGCAGCGACCACAAAAATGGTAAAAAATGGTACAACATCAATATGTACCATAAAAAGAAATAATAATTTTGTGTCGAAAAATAAATTGGTTTCCTAACGCGCCTGTCTGTTACTTGCAGTGAATGGACAAATTCAGAGTTCTCCCAGCAATAAGAAAGGTATATCTTTATACTCATTTAAGATTCTACGTTAATGCTAAAGTTAATTCTAATTTTGAAGTTTCATATGTAACTCGGTGGCGACTACACAATTTTTTCGTACAGGTCTAAACGTCGACCAGAGGGAATACAACCCAAATAATATATCCATGTGAGGAGAACAGGTAATAAATATTAAGGCAGCGTGGAAACGACGGACATCAGACGAAAGACCGCGCCTGCTCACTTGACGGGGCCGCCACACTGCTCACGGCAGCGAAACAATACGCGGTAATTCGTGTACCAGCAGTATTTTCTATCATATCCACCCTGCCTTATATCCGCGCGCTCATATAATCACGAACTTTTTATCAGCCACCGGCGCGGTCAGGTTCGCACGTGTCATTATAGAACTGACTGGACTATTGTAGGGTTTGGTATACTGTTCGAAGTTAAAATTTCAGGGTGCTAAATATCACTTGTTGCCTTTACAGATGGCAATTCTATTTCATTAATGTTTTCTCTATTTCATCGCTAGTAACACTCTCATGTTGTATTGCGACCGTCGTCTGCACGCGGCCTGAATTTACTACTGCCAATATGTTCAGCTCAATAGGAACTGAAGATATTTTGTAATATTTTAATGGAATGTACTAGCTGTTCGCTTCGAGTTGGCCGTGACCGTCACTAAATGACGTCATATGCACATCATTTGGTACCGTCGAAAAAGAAATAATAATTGTATTTTTACTTAGCTTTATTTTCCACCAGTAAAAGACTAGTTAGGAGTTGATATGGCGTTGCTAGCGGTGATTAGGTCTGCTACATGCGCGGTACAGTGAAGCAGAGGCCAACACGAAGTGAGTGTACATATCAAATTTCTATCTCAGAAATCAACCGAAAACAAAAGTACATATTGGCATGCACAAAACTCAAAACTACTTTCTTTTTACTACGGTGATGTATTGTATGTTTTATGGATATAAAAATAATGCCTCAAAATGTAATTTTACCTAATATTGAATTGATTTGCTTGGACAATTTTTTATCAATGGATGGGTGCACGTGACTAGTTATTAATATACTGTTTTTTTTTACATTTGTTAATTATTTATATCATAAAAATCTTTTCTATTGAATTATTCTACTATTTTAACACAAATTACATGTAAGTTAAATATTTTGTAGTTCTTTTTAATAGTAACAGTGAACGAAATGTAGATATTGTAGCGTACGATATGTTTTGCGATATGTGTCGTCCATTGAACATGTTCGATACGCAGTCACGCGCACAATATACAAAAATACGTTATTAAAATATTTATTTTAAATTCGATATAGATATTTAATTGTAGCATAATATGTAACATGAAAATCAATGCAAATGAATCTGCTTAGGAATTTCAGAATCTGCGTATAATTTATCGATTAATATACTTTTTTTATTAATTTTGTAATACAAATCTGGTACATAATGCAAATAATTATGTGTAACATGCTGAATGCTTATATTTTTTTAACGATAAGTTGAATCAGTTTTAAGATAAGTTAATAAGGTTTATAATTAAATAGTGGTTGTAAGTTAGCGATAATTATTGCACCTAATTATATATTTATGAAGTTGTAAGTAATTGAATAAAAAGTGGTATATTTATTAAATATTATATTCCATCCTAAAACAGGGATAGTTGTTAACAGTGACAGGGTCAAAAATATTATGTATAATATCGATTTATACGTGTAAACGAAATTTATGTTAACTAATATTTTTAATAAACGCTAAATTAATTGTATTTCAATATAATTGAAATATTTAATAATAAAAATATTGGTGATGACTGTACAGTCAACAGTACGTCAGGTTATTCCAATCTGTCGAGTTTTTCTACTTGATTCTGAACCTTATAATTTGTGCGTAGAGTTTAAAATCAAGCTAATAAATTTGACATATTGTAATTTCATTTTCAGCCATGTGTATGCTACAGTTCAGCAATATTGATCACTTGTACCTATATAGTAGTTGTGACGCAAGTTATTCTTGAAATTGCAATACTCAATTGTTTATAATAAAAATATTAATTTAATGGAAGTATGTTGTTTACGTATAATGTTTACGAAAAATAATTTCCAAAGATTTGGCTGTGTGCATCTGGTATGTAGAACCTTAGAACAAGTGTTGTTCTAAGTGTAGAACAGAAGACTGATAAAATCAACTGTTCCTATTTATTATTATTATCCTAAATTTACATGCTATCTGAATTGTTCTTTTTTATCGTAATGAAATTTTGAAACGTGTTTATCAATTTAAAAAATAATGTTACAAATATACTGTCTATTTTATATATCTGGTTTGTTTTCTTTGTTGACAATATACAAAATTACCTAGTATAATAATCACAAAATTTTATGTTTTTTATAAGTAGGAACCATAAAAACATCTCTTTGTCACAAACTATTTAAGTTATAATAAAACTTAAAATTTTAGTAATGGCTTAGCATTTGAATGGGATGAAATCTATTAATTGATACATATTACTATGATATTTCAATATTAAATTCATACAAGCAAGCAACTATGAGTTATGTTATGACATTTGTTTCCTTTGTGGTTGAGCCCGAAGTCTTTCAGATATAGTAGAAAAATGAAATCAAGTTAATGATCGGCATAAAATTAAAATCAAGTAAATGACCCTTATGAAAAATCGTGAAGTAAGAATTCGCCCAAGATTTAACCGGGGATTATACACGCGCTAACCGCTTCACATGTTCCTAATTTCATTTACTAACTAATATTAAAAAGAATAGAGTTCCCTCACTGGGTCGCTGATTGTTAATTTTTTACCACTGGAAAATGACTCCGCTTGCGACTTCTCACATAGAGGTTCATAACATACCTCGTGTGTTCATAATTTTTGAGACAAACATTTTACTAAAAAATTAAATGTTACTGGCTTGGAATGTTAACTTTTAGTTTATTTGTATCGCAAATTCATTTGTTTATATTTTCTCGTGATGGAGGCCACGAAACAATTACGTGCAACTGCCATTTCGCTATTTAAGGCGGGAAAAAAACCGATGCAGATGTTCCGTCAGCTGAAAAGTTTTCCTGTAAGCCGTACTTCGTCTTTAACGTAATACAGCGATACAAAGAGACAAGTTCTCTGCAAGATCGCCAAAGGAGTAGTCGGTCACGGTCTGTGAGCACGCCTGCGAATATAAAAATCATCCGAGAGCGATTTCGCCGAAATCCATGTCGTACTTAGAAGAAACTCGCTCTGCAGACTAACATTTCGCGCGTTTCAGTGAACAGAATGCCTACTGAAATATGATCTTAAGGTAAAGGCCTATAGCAGTAAAAAAGTTCACCTTTTAAACGATCGTCTTCGTAAGTTACGACGCGAACGTTTTACATTGGTGCTGAGGAGACATGATACCGGGAAGATACTCTTCACCGACGAGAAAATTTTTACTGTCGAAGAAAAGTTCAACCGACAAAACAATAAAGTGTACGCTAAAAGAAGCAAGGATGTCCCAGCTTCTGCACGATATGTCTCGCGCACTCATCATCCGGCTCACTTCTGTGATCCGGCTAGTGTGATGGTATGGTGGGGGGTTTCGTATGAAGGTGTCTCTCCGCTGCATTTCTGCAACAGGGTGTCAAGGTTTAAACCAAGAATTGTCAGAGTAACATTTTAGTGCCCGTGGTAAAACCCCTGTTTGATACGTTATTTCACAATAAGGATTGGGTTTTTCAGCAAGACTCGGCGCCATCCCATAAGGCAAAAAGCACCCAAACTTTGTTGAGGTAGAATGTGCCGGCCTTCATCGCGGCGAACGATTGGCCCTCCTTCAGCCCAGACCTCAACCCGCTGGATTGTTCTTTATGGACTGAATTAGAGTTTAGGGCCTGCCGAAAGTCCCACCGAAACTTGGAGTCACTGAAACGGACCCTTGTTCGGGAAGCAAAGCGAATTCCGCTAGAAAAGACTCGTGCCGCCATTGATGACCTGCCGAATTTTGAATAAAATATATATTTTGTTGTTAATTATTATCTATGCAAAATTTTCAAAATTTTTCAGTAACCATTAAGGATACTGAAAATTTTTGAAATATAAATTAATTATAAAAAAAGTAACGCAACTGTTATTTCGTCTCAAAACTTATGAACGAGAACACAAGGTAAAAGTTGTTAATCGAATAAAAGGTTTTTATCGTATTTTCATAGATAACCTTTTTAGGTTGAAAACAATGTAATTAGATGCTCTATGAGGCTATGGTTACCTATTTTACGACATATGACATGAAAGAATTGCCAATTGGACGTAGTTATGCAAACCAGGATCCAACCCGCATGATAGTTTTTGTTAAAATGTAAAGAAAAGCTTTTCTTGTTTTTAGTAAAATTTATCGCGGTTTGTAGATTGTATTTTCTTTTGTTTATTACCAAAAAGTTTTACATACATGAATGGCATGAAATTATAATATTTTTTCTTGGATATTTATTGCAAAATGTATTTGATTTGTATGAAGAGCAATGATATTATATATTGAAAAATGGTATAAATATGATTATAAAAATCAATATAATGTGAAGTTATAAAAATGCAGTATTCATATATATATACACAAAAATACAGTGTTGATAACGATATTACTGCGATTGCAAAAAAAAACTTGGATCTATGTTGTAAAATCAAGCAACGAAATCATGAACTTACATAGATAAAAATTGGTTTCAAGCTGCATGGATCTTTTTGTGTTTTGCAAAATTATTATTTATTGAGTTGGTATCTTTTGGGCTAGAATATTTTTAGCTATTTGTGTAGCAAAAAGTTTTTAAATCACCTTTATCTTCATAGAACTTATAGAAGGTTAATTTTTAGGTTTCTCTGTATATATAATTCGATTTATGGGTTGGATCCGGTTTGCATAACTACATCCAATTACATTGCGTTCAAATTGGTTTGCAGACAATATCTATAGAAACTGAGTTGCAACGTGCCTTCGTGTATTAGACCAAAAATAATCTAATATAACCGGCGACGGTAATAAGGCCGGTCCGTCTACATTGGTTCAGTCTCGCGGCCATATCGCCCGCGGAAGGTCGCGGCCGTGCGCAACGTGCCTCGATATTGTCGGTGTTTAGTTGTGCCATAAATATTCTTAAACTGTGAGAACTACAAAAATCGATCAGCATGGATCCCGAAGCATTCTTGGACCTGGCCAACCAGGTCATCAAACTTAAAATGTTCCCATATTTCGACATAGCACATTCTTTATTGTGCGCTCTTGCAGTGAGAGAGGATTTGGGGGCTGGTTAGTATTACGTTTGTTTTATAAAACGCGCCAAAAACCTTATTCTGCAAATCTTTATGAAATTCCCCACCTGTTGAGTTAAAAATGAATACCAACGTATATTTTTTATTGCCTGTAATGTACTAAAATAAAGACACCTAAATAGTTTATTAATAGAATATTGATGCCTATCTAATTCCCTGTGGAACATTAGCAACTACAAGCTGTAAAATAATACCAGCTGTGCAATTAGTTTTTCCTGCATGAATATCAAGTTACATCTAAATTACGACGAAAACCACAATATCTGTAATTTTAAATGTATATTGACGTGGAACGCCTCTATTGGGCCATATTACACCTGTATCAGTTTGATAAATTTCTGTGCGGATTTATCTTTATGTAATCCCAAAAACTCTATTTAATGAAAACATATAAATTTTACAATTTACTCGCAGCTTTCATTGGAAGCAATACTGTTGAATTTAGTAGAAAATTATTTTTTTCATTATTTACGATATATTCTGTTAATATGCATAGATGGCGTGGTTTACATGACCTTTATATAATTTTTTAACCATAACAATTCATATAGATACCAAATGAGTAAAAATCAATGTGATTTTTACCAGAATATTAAGGAAAAAAAACTTAGTGTGTGGGCTCGTCCGGGATTTGAACCCGGGACCTCTCGCACCCGAAGCGAGAATCATACCCCTAGACCAACGAGCCACATCAGATTGAACTGAAATTAAACAAGAATTTCAGAAACATATTCATCGGGTATATGTATCTGTGCCTATAGATAATGCGTTTTTATTCACGCAACGCGTCATTGTAATAAAATATTTTATTATGGAGCGCAATGGCATAGTGGTGAGGGCATTTGATTTATAATGCGTAAGGCAGCGAATAAAATTTCGTAGGGGTTGATCATAATATGATATATCCTACCCCAAAAATGTATTATCTCGTGCTCCTCTGTTTTTCAGAGGAAGGGATTTAGTTTTATGTTTTTAGTTAGTAATCGATCATAATACATATGTTTAACTTTCATAAAATGATTTTTATTTGTCAAATATTAGCATAACCTTAGTATAAAATTCGTTTAAAAAATAGATATGTAAATGTGAAGATATGTATCGTTTACTATCAACGCTCCTTATAAATATGCTGGACGTTTAAAATTTTTTACAACTTATCTATAACCATATTTTCGCAATTAAAGATTTTATTATTATTGTCTATATGGAGTATTTATTCCGTATTTATTAGTAAGTATTCGTGGTTTTTGACTAATTTTACTATTTGATATAATTTATGAATAACGTCAGGTGCACAAGCCTTTTCACGAAAGCATCCGCTATCGTGCTGGCTATCAACGATGCTGGTGATATTCGCGGGTGGCATGGTTGCCAACGGGTTACTAGGGGAGCCAATACTGGCGCCGCTAAAGAATACACCGCAGCTGGTGATCGGCACCGTCACATGGTTAGTACTTTTTCGTATCATCAGGTGATTACAATGGACTTAAGGTGCATATCTGATGGTAGATGCGTCGCGTAATTGTCGATCATTATACGGAACATCGTCAGACATTAAACGTTGCACACTCGACAGAGGATTCCTTGAGATCACTGTGACGCTTGACGGACTTTCCATCATACTTGCACTGATGTCTATTTATTTTTTCTATCGACTTTTTCTTTGTTTATCTTTTTTTTTAAATTAGAATTTGATATTGGTAGAAACATGATCTTATATTAGATAAAACTATTTAAGAAAACGCCGTACATACAAAATCATTAACTTTCAACTGGTCTTGTACAAAGAAATAACGTTTAAATTAATTAAAAGCAGACCTAGACATGAAGTCTTCTGACTTTAATCCCCCTCTTAAGAACTCATGCAACTTGTCTTGTCACAGGTATATTGTGTTCTACACGCCTTTCGACGTTGGATACAAAGTAGCCAAGTTCCTGCCAGTGAAGGTGGTAGCTGCGGCTATGAAGGAAATATACCGGGCCAAGAAAGTGTACGACGGTGTCAGTCACGCCGCCAAGCTCTATCCTAATGCTTACGTTATTATGATCATTGTTGGTGAGTTTCTGCCCTCGTACTCTAAAAAATCCACATTAATAGTGTTTCGTCTTTTATCCTACTTTAACTTAGATTATATAATTATTTTAATGCTGTAGAGAAGGAAAAGGCACGATCAATTAATTACCATCATTTGTTATAAACTTTAATTTATTTAAAGGTGAACGGATTATTTTTAACATTTATGATAAAAATCTTAAAATATTATATCGTAGACGCATTACTTTTTGTAGCTGCTAAAAAATGATTTTATATTTAATTAAATGTTATTATTATATTGTTTCAGGTACCCTGAAGGGTAACGGCGCGGGTTTCTCCAAGCTACTGGAGCGCTTAATCAGAGGAGCTTGGACTCCTACAGCCATGGAGACAATGCAGCCCAGCTTGTAAGCGGAAACTTATTTCATAATAATATATAAGTTTGAGACAAAAGCTAAAAAAAGATTTAAAAAAAAATCACATTTGTTGAATGGGAGCTACTCGTACATTTTTTATAAAATTAGCTCCATTTGATTTTTGTGCCTTCACTTGTTGATAATGACGTTCAAAGTAATAAGGTGCCTATCTTTAACTTCGCGAGTCTTGTTATTATTTTTCACTTGCTGAAATTGGTCTAATTTGTTACGAAAAATATTTATTTTATTACTTTTAGTGATAAATATAAATAAGATGCTTGTTTACAAAAACCATAGGAAAGCAAAAGATGTCATTTTGTTCACTTGACGCCAAATCGTCATATCTACATCGTCTAATTGTTACTTGGAAAATGTTTCCAATATTTATTTTTTTTAACAAATCTGCATATTTTTCGTATTTTTTTATGAGATCACCTCAGGCCAATAGCTTTCGAAAAGTAATTTTAATATCAGTTTAAGAACTAATGATTATTTTGAAATCTGTTTTAACTTTAACCTCTGTCATATTAACAACAACTATTCAGCCGCTTTCGGCTAGATCCGTCAGCTTGATTGAACTGTGCGTGAGTTGGTAAAACAGACAACCAGTCAATCATAGATAAAGAGGAAAGATTTTGTTTGCAATGAATAAGCTCCGAAACTTCTAGCCGATTTATTTTTTATTTTTTCACATTCGGAATGCTACATCATATCATGAAACAGCTAGTATATACATATATATAAATTGCAATAATAATTCTTATTCCAGCTACACGAAGGCATCTCTGGTGGCATCCGTGATCTTCGTGCTGGACAAGAAGACGGATCTGATTTCAGCGCCCCATGCTCTAGTCTACTTCGGTATCGTCATTTTCTTCGTCTATTTCAAGGTAATTTTACATTTTTTGAGTTAAAGGATCGGTATGTGATTATGGTCCCACATGGAGGAAGCAACTGTGTAGGGAGACACTAAAGTGAAATTGATTTTCTCTGAGCTGAATGTTGGTAGCTCGATGACGGCGGTCTAATTGATGTAAGTTGGAAGTTGTACATATGCGAAGTCGCGGCGAAATTTAGTCAGCGCGATGCAGTTATCGCGGCGCCATCTTGTAACTATTCCATGTAACTTAAAGCTTCCGTCGTGCCGTCGAGTACTGTGGTAATGTTATCGCGGTGAGATAGATGTCGCCTCAAACTCATTAAGTAATATAATAAATTAAAGTTAATATTCCTATTCCTGTATATTTTGGCATAACCGTTTTGGTATGTTGACATAATTATATTTTAGGCTATTTTCTGCATAATATTACTAGACATGAAGAACCGATAAATATGGTTAGGTAAGAATTGCGACCAAAACATGTCGAGTAAGCTTTTAATGTAAATATAAATAGGGCAAACAAGAATAGATATGCCATGTTATATTGTCTTATCATGCTATGAAAATATAAAATTATTTTATACAAAAGGATAGGGTAGTCTTAGTTGGTAACTTATTCTTCAATCCATTATTTTTTCATGTTGCATAAATTTATGTTTACAAAGTGATATAGTGATTTACAAAGCAGACGTTATCGATAAAGTGACCTTAAAATTAGGAATTTTGATAACGCTATTGATACGCATTTCGCAACTCCAAATACTACAAAAATCGACGGTACTAACATTTACTGAATTTCACAAGAGCTCTTTTTCACGTTGCAGTTATCATCCATCCTTTTGGGCATCCATGACCCGTTCGTGCCTTTCGAGAACCTGTTCTGCGCTCTATTCATGGGCGGAATCTGGGACTCGCTTGCTAAACTTCTGGGCAAGGGACAGCCCAAGGAGGAAACTAAAGATACAAAAAAAACTAATTAATAACAAGTAAGTATTATTTTATAGACGACTTGACACCACTATCACGAAGTACATGCTGTTTTTTTTTTGAATAATATAAAATATACATAGTATTGTTAATAAAGTATTGATCTTACATTTAGAACACATCCATCCATCCAGCCATCTTCATTATAGTATTCAGTTCGTATAGTTATTATAAGTGTATTATGAATTACTATAAGTGTAATAATTCAAAACTTAAGAAGACAAACAGACTTAAGTGATCACTGATCATATATGATCAAAAAAATGGCCTTTATATTTTCTTCTTATGTTTTTTGTTGTATTGAAAGTATTTTTAATTGTTTTGATGTGTGATATATTCTTTTATTATCAAAGATACACACAAATCAAAAATAAAGTATTATTTGTTCCGTTCGATATCCGGAATCCATCTTGAGTCAAGCATCATCCTTTTTGTGACGTTTCCGGTCGAAAACACTACCTCCCCTCTTACTTCCGGCGCCTGTGCTGCCATCTAGTTTGCGGGTAGCGAACCAATGACTTTTAGGCACGAACGCTTACCGTCATTATAGCGTCGTTTTTCGTGGCGAAAACATCGGTCCTACATAAAATGTGCACAAATTATACTTATATAGTTTAGTGTTAAAATTAAAATGAAATGAATATAAAATTAACCTCCCTTCGCGATGGAGCAACGGGACAGTGAAATAAACAAAGAAAACAGCATTGAAGCAGGCGTGTTTATTGTCTTCGAGCTCATCGAACAGCGTCGTCGGATTCCAGCTCGGAGAGAGCAAGTAAGGTACAGAGGCGAGAAAAACTGTAAGTGATTTGCATTCGATTTGTTACCCCAACCAGTGACATTTTTTGATAATGCATGATAAAAACTGGAAAACTAAATCCACCTGTGCATTTTTCCATAACAAAATAGCACATAGTATCCATACCAGGACCGCAATTATGGCAACCACAGCCACCATCACGTTCCCTACGACCCCACGGTCCTGAACAGTTCCTACTTGCAGCGGTTACGACTGGTGATAATTTTCTTTATGTACCTACTATAGTAAAACAATCAACACAAGTTCAAATAGGATTTTTTTTTCTTAATAACGTTAAAAACCCAGTATATGGTGAAACCAAATTAGATGAAACATGCTCAAATTAAATTATAAGTTGAGTCGATTTGTTTCTGCTACAACAATTGATGATTTAAGATAAGATCTTTATTTGCAAAAATAGAAGTCATTATAGTTAAATTTTATAGAAATGGTACAATCTACAGCATTAACAAATACCTTAACAGAATTAAAGTATGAATCAATTAGTTTAGCACTAGTTTACAATAAATTGCAGATTGATCTATTGCTAAAGACCTTAATGCTTTTTGATAAAATCTAATCAACATTCAACAAGGATTATATTTTCCAAATAATAAGTGGCAGACGCACTGATGTGTTCAGAGCCGTGGAGAAGTTTTCTGAGGTGTCTTTACAGAAATTTTTGCCAAATTCAGAGTTCAAAGTCAAAGTCAAAATAATATTTATTCAAATAGACTTCTCTTTTGAATCGTCCAACATTTTTCCCCACCACTCGTTCAGGACGTCTTTTGGCTGATAGGAAGAACGAACAAGTTCTTCTTTGATAATAGTATATTGCACCCAAAAAACAAGGGGGTGCATAAAATGGTTGCAACTGCAAGTTGATTCAAGGTAGATTACCAGAAGTACACACCAATATTTAAATGGTAATGAAACCAGTTCATTAAATTTTAGAAATAAATACAATGCATGACATGACACATTGGAGGGGGCTATCTAATGCGATCTGTAAGTTTATGGAACAATCAGGATGTTCCAGATTGCATATGTCGGATCTTGGGCGAGTGGCTCACCAGTTCCAAGGTGTCACCATTTCTGAGCTCCCGCATTCCACTCTGTCATGTTAATGCAGATAATGAGCTTTTCTATATTGTCTCTGATCTGGGTGTTGTTACCTTCGTTGTTTCAGATTTCCATAATACAAGTGTTTAACTATATCATTTGGTATCTAAACTATGTAGGTATGTGATGGAATAAAAATTATATTTTTATGCGTGGGTTTTTAAGTCATCTTCAAATATCGTTTGCAATGCTCAAATTAATATACTGGAGATTACAAAAAACACCCTGTTTTGTATCATTTCCTCTTCTAATGTTAAAGCCCGACAATTTCATTTAAAACGACACTGATTTGTCAAAATAAAACCTTTTCGACTGATCAATAATTTTCGTATTCCGAACATTCTCATACAAAACGAATGGTTTACGAAAATATATCCGAGCCAAAAGTATTTTCATTTGAGTATCGCCGAACAACATCTGGTTCACAGGTTCTTGAGACTGGCATACAACAACCTACCTAATGCAACTGAAGTGTCTCTTTGAACTGCCATCAGTACTCAAAAACTTTGCTGCCTAGACCAACACAACAACTGCGTTACCACAATAGCAGCGCTTAGGGTGGTCTCTCAACTTCGAGTAGTGTGTGCTGGTTCTGAGCTTCCTCGGCGTTGCCTGATGCATCGTGACCAACACGGTCACGAGGTGCCGGGAAGTGCCGGGGAAGTCTGGGGTAAGTCCCTGTCGGAACCGAAGTGCCTTACGTTACGCATGGCACTTCAGCACGAGGCGACTACACGTGGCGGTTAGTCCCTCAGACAGGCCCAGTTCCTAATGGGGAGATTCGACTTTGCCTCGTTTGTGATTCGAAGAGGGTGATTACACTGTCGCATACTGCAATACTACCATCGACAGTTGTCCAAAGATCACCATTACCACCGAATCAGACTACTAGACTCAGTACAGAACATTCAGCGAAGTCACTGTTTGAACTGAACGCTTCATGCTACGCATGGCATTTCAGCATCAGATTGTACAAGGCGGTTAGTCCCTCAGACAGGCCCAGTTCCTAATGAGGAGACTCGACTTTGCCTCGTTTGTGATTCGAAGAGGGTGACTACACTGTCGCACACTGCAATACTACCATCGACAGTTACCAAAGATCACCATTACCACCGAATCAAACTACCAGACTCAGTACTGAACATTTAGTGAAGTCCCTGTTTGAACCGAACGTTTCACGCTACGCATGGCACTTCAGCATCAGATTGTACAAGGCGGTTGGTCTCCCTCAGACAGGCCCAGTTCCTAATGGGGAGACTCGACTTTGCCTTGTTTGTGATTCGAACAGGGTGATAACACTGTCGCACACTGCAATACTAACACAGCTTAAATTACTACCTATTCGGATTACCAGACCCAGTACTGAATGACTTAAAATGGTAAGTATCTGTTGTACCTTCCAATAAATGCAACGCAAATCGCTCAACATCCGAGGACAGGTGCATAGGAAATCTGTTCGAGTGCTCAACTCGAGGCAATTACTCACGCGAGTCTTCATTTCGCGGAATGCCTAGATGTAAATGCTAAGAGAACTGTACTGATTCCCGTACATAAACAAAGATGGGGGACCAAATCTAGGAAATTATTGTAATTATGATACGAACAAGGCAGATTCAGAAATTATGCATAGCCTGAAGACTAAATCTAGCAGCCCAATGTACACCAGATGTGAACTTATTCCATCGACAAAAGCACACGTCATTCCCAGGTTCATGACAATGGATGTGACGGACGAGCAAGCTAATAGGTCATAACGCATGACGTCATCAGTGCAAATGCAAGCTGGCCTTATTCAAACATGATTCCGCAAATACTTTCTCGACTCCAGTAAGTGTCAAGGCAAGTAAGTACATTATGATTGTTCCAAAATGGGACAAAGTGTCTTGGCTGACGATTTGTTTCCGCAAATACTGCAATAGGTATGGCAACAGGTGTTCATCCCCCGAAATTCAGAAAATTTATTTAAAAGTCGGGCAGAATAAAATGAAATAAAGAAAATCTTGAAACTATCGAGTTAATGTAATGTGACTATAAATGTCTACTAGTATTAATTCTGCAAATAACAAGTGCCCGGTAGGGAAATTCTGCTAATGTCGGCGTAATGGTGGAGGGTCAATAGCGCTTTGACTACAACCCTTTATGACACATTCTTGTTACTAGATCATAAAATAATAAATATATCTGTCAATATTGAATTGTTAGGAAGACATTGCACAAATAATATTAGACTTCAGGTATATAGTACATTGGAAATTTTACGTAGAAATTGGCAGAATTTACTCTATTTAAGTTGCTGGAAATTTAGCATAATTTCACAATCTTCAAGGTCGCAGAATCCATTATTTAACCCTTTTAACCTTTGAAGTATAGAGACGAAAATGATTTTTTGTCTTATGGCCCCATTTTGTATTAAAAACAGATAATAGTAATTATGACAGCCAGGACAGAAATGATAAACTGACACAAATCATTCGATTGCATTTATTGGACACGCGATCAATTTTTGTATTGAAAGCGCCCCAAAAAGAAGTAATTTTCACGAGTTAACTACTCTGTTCTCAAAAATGCTAAATAGAAGCACATAATGTAGAAGATTCTTCAGGGTCTATTACATCTGCAGTTCCATCTCTAAATTGACTGGAACTGTTTCCGATGGATAAATTACTGAAACTGTAAACTGGCGCCAAGAAGGAACTTAGGACTTTTAGGAAGTCCTATCGAAAACTGATAAATCGGACAATTAAGAAAATTCCGATATCTATGTATTTACATTTTTATTATTCCATTCAATTCATTAATGACATTGACCGATAACAGATAAGCCAATATTTATTTAGCTTAGATTACCGAAATACTTAAATAATTATTATAATTGCATTGTTATGTAACAGCATAATATATGTACTATGTAGGTAATAGCATAATATACTTATAATATGCATTATTTTTTCTCATCAGACTACATTTGACTTTTTATACCTGCAACACATTATAGCGTCACCATTGGCACTCACCAGGAGATAACAAACACATCACTCAAGATGGATTCCGGATATCGAACGGAACAAATAATAGAGAGTTTTAACTACCAATAAAACTTACCTATTATTTTTCCTAAAGATATCCGGAATCCAGGTAAGTTCTACCTGGTGCATCTAGAGTAGGTATAATGACGGTAAGCGTTCGTGCCTAAAAGTCATTGGTTCGCTACCCGCAAACTAGATGGCAGCACAGGCGCCGGAAGTAAGAGGGGAGGTAGTGTTTTTGACCGGAAACGTCACAAAAAGGATGATGCTTGACTCAAGATGGATTCCGGATATCTTTAGGAAAAATAATAGGTAAGTTTTATTGGTAGTTAAAACTCTCTATTTAAGTGCGATTAAGTAGTTCAAAATTGGTTAACTAAATAATTGCACTCTACATAAGAACGGCAGATTTGTCGTTCATATAAGAGAGGGAAATTTGTTAATATCATATTTTCTCGTTAATTAGAAAATAAAAAAAAGTCAAATTTACTTAGATCCAAAGCAGGGCCTTTTGGGAAACAAAATTCGGGACATTCGAACGGTCATCAGAACTAATCGGACTACAGACCGATATTTATTATCATAATAAAAAATTTGCGAGAAAAATAAAGACCTTTTTTGCATTAATTTTTTTTTATTTAGTAAAGGTAATATATGAGGCCTGTCTGATGAAAAGCGGTCATAATTACTGTAAACCATAGCTAAATCATAGTATGTGCACTTTTTCAAAATATATTTTCAAAGTACATTTTATTAATATTTTTTGTCGAGTTTCATCCAAAATCCGGACAAAATGAATAAGAAATCGGGACGGGAGGCAACCCAGTTCCAAATCCTTCACTCTTTTTTTTATTTAAATTTTATATGTCCTTTTTGCAGTATACAACTCCAGCCTCTTCTTCAACTGACACCGACAATACAAATTGCGACGGCTCCATAACAAGTAGCTTACTATAGTAAATAAATAATAATGTAAAATAAAAAATAACAAAAAAATAGTAAAACCCTTAAATCCTAAAAAAATGGCACAACGACCAAAGTATTGATTTCATTAGAATTAAGTTTGACTAGTCATAATGTTTTGTGTGTATGAAGTTCCTGTTGATTTTATTACAGTATGAATTAATGTTTGATAATATCGTACTTATTTTGAAGTATTATAAATGGAATAAGGTTATTATTATAGCACACATTATTTTTAAAGTAGGTATATCAATGGCAAATGTTCATTTAAATATCAATGATAAATTAATAACTATTCATTTTATATTCTTGTCAATTGCCAAAATATGTAAACCATTACTTACTTTTAAGTACACATATTACTTTACAATTTTCCCAGTTTTATAGGTGTGATGTGATAAAAATGTTTGAAAATATTGAGCATTGAAATTATAATAATCTAATTCTAGTTTAGTATAACGAAACGACAAGCGATTATCGACTTTATTTAATTTTGAGTTCATTTGTTTTTCAAATGAATTCATTTACTAAAAGTATACTTTGTGTTATTGCTGATAAAGTTCATTTTTTATCTACACAGCTACAATTAGAAATTAAATCTCTCTTTATGCATTGTCATGTTAATATTGCTTTTTAGCACAATCGTTTTTTATTTTATTTATTTGTATAATTTGAAACATCTGCCCGATTTGCCAGGGTGTTTAGCAATGAGGTCCAAATGTTTCGATGTTAATATATGGTCTTCTTAATAATTTCTACATATAATAAAACAACGGTGAGAGACATATTATTTCGTATTTAAAGAATTATTGACAATGTTTTAATTAGGTATTATTGGTTGACGACAGCAATAAATAGTTTTTTTATTATTATATTTTCTGTAGTTTTATTACACCTACCAGCTGTTGAATATCACCATAATGTTATCGGTACGTTTTCATTCCATAAAGGTATCGTGAGTCATAGTATCACAATTTTTGATCTGATTTAGCCGTCTTTTTCTTTTTCAAGCTAAAGTAACAAAACGCTCAGCGTTACCTATACTCCATTCATTATAGCATTAGACAGAATGAAAATAAGGTTCTTTTTATGGTATACTTTGTGACAAAATGTCAACAATCATGTTACTCTTAAGACTAACGGCTAATTTGCTACATATTCACTTAAATACCAGCTGCATACTTAACCGTAGTCTTTTAAGCTATATATTAAACAAATTTATGAGTATTTGACGGACTTAAAACATTTAACAATTATTACAATAAAAAGTGTTCATCTTAAAGAACCTAAAGAAGCAGGGTTAGATAGTTTCGGCATGATTCTCATGTCACTATAACTCTACCAAGTTTAAAACGTTGCCTAATCCCTTCAATCGTTTCGGCAGTACAGCTTTTTAATTTTGTCAGATTATGATTTATTCATAATAGTCAAAATATGTAATCTGGGATTTGCGATTCCGGTGCAGGCCCGAGTAGCCTACAAAAATTACACTCTGATCCCCGTGCCTACCCTCAACCATTGACATTTCAGGAAGTTTTTCCAATAGTCTAACACTTACAATTGGAATTTATTAAAACAACAGATAGATAGTTTCAGTTTTAGTTCCATTTTGGCTTGGGAGTAAAAGATGAATTTATAAAATGCTGGTCTCATCTCAACCCCGAAGTATCGTAAAAAATGGAAAATTGCCCAGCTCTTTCAGACTACCTAATGTTCAAATTAAAAAAAAAAACTTATATATATATTTTTTTAAAATCTTGAAAATAAAATGTTTTTGAACTGCTGCTTCTATGATCCTCTTTTTTCTAATGTTATAATGAATGGAGTAAGTATGTAGGTTTATTTCACACGGTTCCCCACGTTGTAAGAGTAGCTCTTTACATACAGTTATTTTCTCAAATGATAATCTGTAATTCTAATACCGAAAACATTTTATTTTATTTATTTATTTATTTAATACTTTATGCACTAAAGTACAAATTATTTATCTTTTACTTATCTCCAAATATCAAGTCTCCACAACCAGCGGTTTACGTTGCGCAATGTCTGTCTCTCAGTCAATCAGTATTCAGGATAAAAATTCTAACAGTATTAAGATGTTCTGTTATTATCCAAATTGATTGTAACGATTAGTACAGTACCAAGAAAGTTTCATGTTCAGTACATTAAACATACATGCAAGTCAAACTGAGAACCTCCATTTTTGAAGTCGGTTAGAAGAAACCTGACAAAGCTAAAAATCACTTTCATAAAGCTTTTAATTTTAAAACTCTATAAATCTCTACTCTGAAACATCTATAACAAGTAAAAGTTGTTTATTAATAGACTTTAACCGGTTTATTAATAATAATATCAATTAGACTTATCATTGTCATCGTTCGGCGATTAAACAAAAGTTATACAAGCCGGTCGTATAAATATTTAGCAAGATACGACCTAAATAAATGCATGTTGACAACCCTGTACGCAACAGCCTTCTTTATTTCATATCGTATCATCATCAGCTCTATTACGTCCCCACTGCAGGGGCTCAGGCCTTCCTTGTGGATGGTTGAGGAGGATGCAAGCCCAATGCGGATTGTTGGGTATTAACGACTGCAAATTCAGCCGGGATCTTACTTGGGACGGACTTTTTGAAAGTTGCTTCGGTCCCATTAAAATTTTATCGAAATTCAATTAATAGTTTTACTTTTGCATAGACATGTTTATATCAGCGAAAAGACTGAGAGAATGACTTGAATGATTAACACTCTTAAATGATAAGTAGATATTATTTCTCACATTTCTCACTTTTTGGAAGAGCGCGGGCGGTTCTATTTTTTGAAAAAAATAAGTTATACTTACAGTTACAGTGCTCATGGTCACTTATTATGCTCAAACACTTCTATAAATCTGGTTGTGCTTGTGCTCTGTTGTTTAAATAATAAAAAAAAAAAAATTACATATAAATACCTTACTCTTGCCGTTATACAATTTAATGCATCCATTTAAGTAAACGCTGTTGACAGATATTGTTATAATCGATGAGGCCGACATAATACAAAGATGTAATACACTAAACTTTAAAAATATATACTTACTTTTATACTAAAATAAAAAAAAACCCTTCTCGATTAAAACCTTAATCTATTGAATATAGGGGTCAAAATCCATTGCAGATATTTATTATATTGTGGTAATCTGATTATCTGACATGCGATGCAACTATGTGTAGTACCTAGTATGGAATCACGCGTAAAAGTTATGTTAAATCTCAGATTATCACTATTGTTATCAACCTTTTTGCTGTATTCAATTATGATTTTAGATTAGGTGGTGGATTATTAATCGCTTTAATGAATTTCTATAAGATAAATATCGATAGCTAACCTATTACGTAGGTAAGCAAAGGTAGGCAGTTGGGCAAAGAGTGGAGACAGAATAAATCTTATCCGTCCTAATTAATTGTAATTTAACTATCGTAAATAAGGTAATAGGTAATATACCGTACATATAAGGTAATAAAACAAAAAAAAACAAGCAGTTACGTGGTTCTGTCTCAGCCCAGCCAAAGCTCTTTTCACTATTCCTTGTTTAGATAAATTCGACCTCTATGCAATCTGTTATAAAGTATAAATGAAGATGTCTTATCAAGTTATCAACGAGAATGCATAAATTTTGCGAGTTATAGTTATATAGGTTTATAGTTGTAAATAATAGCCGATATCAATCAAGTTGGACGACTTATGTGTGGATGTATTTAAAATCGGTCCAGTAAATTAAGAGCCTATTTAATGCAAGGAAAGCAATCAAACATTTTTCTTAAAAATATTACTGTATTAAAGTTAATTAAGATGTCCGATTTATGATATGATCTGATAAATTATTATTTATTATTTTTGATCAATTTTGCATTCGCAATGCTATACTGAAAAATATTCTTAATGAAAAATGCTTAAAAATGTACTTTTCCCCTGGCACTATGAGATGGGACTCGAACCCAAGACCTTTTTTTATTAATCATTTATTTATTACTTTTTTTTTGACGCTGGGAAATGCATTACTGCATGCCCCGGGTCGCCAGTGAAACTAACCAGGATTATGTGGGGCTCCCCCCTACGGACCCACCCCAGAATGTGGCTAGTCAATGAGCAGGGGTATACCCACTAAAACCCAGCGATGTCGCATGGAAGACGATGCACGGGATCGGCCCGAAGGCCATACACGAGCTAACCAGGACCTAACAGGACCGACGAATTTTTCATACACTTGTTAGTTTTTCGCTATCACAGAGTTCATCAATGTTCAGGCAATCCACCCAAACAGCCCAAAGAAATATTTAAAACTTTTGATAAAGAAGAAAATTTGAACTAATAACTTATTTATAATTCTATTCGTTTAAAAGTTGCATATTATTTCTGTTATTAACTAGGTACATATTCTTAATTTCCATTACTCTATGATTGATATGATTATAAGTGTTGATTACAAAGAACACACTTTACCTTTCAGAGGAGTTTTTGTCTATGATTTCGCCTAAGAAATCGAAGAAAGTGAGGAAGGTTAAATAGTTCTTGCAATTATTACCTATACCGTGACCTATATGTATGAATCGGCAATCGACATATTAATCACTTATCGAAAATATCTCTCTTATTTCTGATAATATAATGGAATGTCTATTCTAATGAAGTCACTTTTCAATAAGACTTCTCTGAGTGAAATAAAACAGGGAGAAAAAAGCAGCCCTTGCTTAGTTTGTTGCCGGTTCTTCGCAGTACAAGGTCTACCGCCGTAGTTTTGCGAACCGATGGCGTAGTTTGCGACTTTCACGAGTGCTTTGTAAAAGCATAAACTAAATAAACAATTTTGATTTTGATTTTTGATACTTACTATTTTATATGATTAAGGAATATAAGCTCTTCAAAGCTGTATTCATTTTGTATATATTTTTTACCTCAAACAAAAACTGAATTATAACGAAAATAGATAAAATAGGTGCCCATAATTTTAGAA